CCTTGTCTCCTTTATTCTGCCTGATTTTCTCCACAACACTTACCCCACCTGACATTTATTTATACCTTATGGTTTGTCTCCCTTTCACCAGGTCATGAGCTTTTTCTGTTTGTTCACTGATATAATTACCCCAGCATCCTGGAAAGTTCCTGGAACATAGCAGGTGGTCAATGATGTTTGATGAATGAGTGGATGAATTGAACTCCACTTATAGATCAAGAAAGTGAAGCCCACAGAAGACACATGATTGGTGGGAGTTCCCCCAGCTGGTAAGAGGGAGCATTGAGTTCTATTCCAGGTCTCTCTGACTGCAAAGCTCAAGTTCTTTTTTTAAATAGAGATTTAAAAAAATGTTTTTATTATTTTTCAGAGAGAAGGGAGGAAGAGAGAGAAAAACATTGATTGGGCCTCCTGCTGGGGATCAAGCCAGAAACACAGGCATGTGCCCTGACCGGGGATCAAACCAGCAACCTCTCGGTGCATGACACAGTGCTCAACCACTGAGCCACACTGACGGGCTTGTGGGCTATTTTGATGGGGTTCATAGACACTTTCAGGTATACTTAAATTACCTACCTAGCTGTCATGGTGTAGGAATGGCTTCCAGGAATGCTCCCATTGTCCGAGGCGCTAACTGACTAGGTGCAAGGCCACAGTCTTTTGGGGCATGAAGTGTCCTCCGAGTGGCTCACTCCAGAAGCACCTGCACAAGGGAGGCGAGTCCAGAATTAAAAGGACTGAGCCAGAAGGCAGCCCGTGGAAACATTTCCCAGAACTTCCAGCTAACATATGAATTAAACTTCATGGAAGTTTTCACAAAATTCCCACAAATCTAAATGACATCACCCATACTAACTTGTAAAGCTGAAACTTTTAAAGAATTCTAATGACCAAAAAACGTCCCATCAAGCACGCTAGAGGAAGGAAATTTTACTTTTCTCTCTGGAAATAAGGATACTGTGAAATAAGTATATGAATCCAAAAAAGTAGGAAGCATCACAGAGGTGTGTCAGGCAGCAAATGAATAAAAACATTACGTTATCATCTTTTGGGATTTTGCAACGTTTGTGGTATTTGTCAGCTTTTTGTTGTTAATCCTCCCCCGAGGACATTTTTTCCATTGATTTTTAGAGAGAGTGGAAGGGAGGGAGGCAGGAGGAGAAAGAGAGAGAAAAACATGGATCGGTTGCTTCCCGCAGGCACCGGGGCCAGGGGTCAAATTCGCAACCTGAGTATGTGCCCCTACCTGGAATTGAACCCACCACCTTTTGGTGTAGGGAGGACGCTCCAACCGACTGAGCCACATCAGCCAGGCAGCTCTNCGGGGCCAGGGGTCAAATTCGCAACCTGAGTATGTGCCCCTACCTGGAATCGAACCCACCACCTTTTGGTGTAGGGAGGACGCTCCAACCAACTGAGCCACATCAGCCAGGCAGCTCTTTTATTTATTATTATTTTTAAAAATATATCTTTATTGATTTCAGAGAGAGGAAGGGAGGGAGAGAGAGAGAGAAGCACCAATGATGAGAGAGTCGTCATTGATCAGCTGTGCTGCCTCCTGCACGCCCCGACTGGGGATGGAGCCTGCAACCCCCGCATGTGCCCTGATCGGGAATCTAACGTCGATCTCCTGGATCCTAGGTCAACCGCTGAGCCACGCCCGGCCGGGCCAGGGCAGCTCTTTTAAATATGTAATTTGTTATTATTTCACGTCCTTAGTAAATTCTCACGATCGTGCCCATTTTCTGTGATTTTGTATTCCTTTGAAAGGCGCTTTCCTCCCTTAATCCCTCACCTCCTATAAACTGTATCCGCCCTCTCGATGCTTCATTGGCTCAAAACAGGTGTCGTTCTCAAGCTGTGCGGTCCCGGGCCAGTGGCCGCACTTCTTTGAGCCTGTTTCTTTAGTGGCAAAATGGGGATCACGATAGCACCTCCATGGCACGGTTAACTTTAAATACGCCAAGGCCTGCAAAGTGCTTAGTGCAGGCTTGAGACCCACTGAGCGAAGATAAATCTCAACCTGTCCTTTTTATGCTAAGAGAACTTCCGCAGCTCTCAGACCAGGGCCAAGAGCTTCCCGTGCGCATGTGCGTCGGAGTCTCTCCTCCCCT